ATGGGAGAAAGAAGATAAACAGAGGGAAGTGGAAAAGGGAGGGTGGGGCTGAGGAGAAGACAAATGAGGAAAGGAGAAATTGGTTCCTTGTAAATGAAATGGAAATTTGCATGCCATCTAAGACAAGTTTGGAATGGTTAAAAATATAGTAATTTCATCTCTTACTGGATCTAATTCATTATAAAATCAAACATAAAATTTTCTTTATCAGCAGCTAATGATAAAAATAATATATAATATTTCTCTTTCTCTCATGCCCATAAAAAGAAAAAGAAACGAAGAAATAGCTCAAGTCTAAGATAAATTAGGGCTTTTAACAAAAAGAAAAAAGGAATTATAACATCCTTACTTTGTTCAACATTCAATTGGCTTTCCGGCTGAAGATTCAGGAACTCAAAAAGTTCTTCTGCCCCCATCAACGATAGAGAACTCTTGGGGAGAAAATGAACATAACCAAGAAATCCCACTTCCGAATATCAGACAAGAAATATGATTATTGAGAACTCTCTCCCTATGAACACATTTGGAGCTCGTTGAAGAAAATGGAGTTGCAAAGGAGGCTCGAAGGAGAACCTCCGTGAAAGTCTATGGACGAAGCTCAGAAAAAAAATGATGGCTAGAACTCAAGGAAACCAACTGAGGGGCGATATATATCTATTTCAACGATTGAAAGATGCCAGAGACTCAGAAAGAGATAGACGCCAGTGAGAAATAGATGCTGGTGAGAAATGTTGTACACGCAGCTCAAGCAAACCGACGGAAATCGATCCTCAGTAGGTTGGAGAGAGAACCATTGGAAAAACCCTAGGTCAATACACGTCGCTGATTGAGAGAACCATCAGAAAAAACCGTTGGAAATTTGGAGAGACAGAGTTCGCTTGGAGAAACCGTAAGTCAATAGGTTGGTTGGAGAATTGGAGAGGTGGAGTCCAAAATAAACTCGATCCTCAGACGGTTTGTGAACAAATCGGCCTCGTCCATTTCGGTCCACCAATTACTTAGGACCAAAATTATGCGGACCAGTCCAATCCGATGCAAAAGTATGGACCGTCCAACCCGTCCAATCTACATGCGATTTGGACGGGGTCCAACCCGAATCTGGTCCATTGACACCCCTAGTCCCCATTTTGTATGAAATAGAATCAAGGTAGGAGGAAAGTGGTGATGATTTTGCATCTATTTTTAGACTGCAAAATTTTTACTACCAATTAGTGCAATGAGACAGTACAAATTTTATTGTTTCGGGTAAGAACAAATCATTGTTACAAACAGACGCAAAACTGAACCTGATGCAAAATTTGTATGTGGTTCAGATTTGCATTACAAACAAACAGAGCCATAAAAACCTTGCATTTCATGTGTATTGACCAGGGGCTTTCTAGTCATTTGACTATTCCGAATATATAAATAATTACAGATTTTTGGCTGTGACGATCCTTGAACTTTGCAAAATAAGCCACTTTTGACCCTAAAGTTTCAAAACGGCCAATTTTGCCCTCAAATTATGGTGAAAAGGTCATTTTAAAGGAAAAAACAAATAACACCGATGATGATTTCATTAGATAAATAATAAATAATAGGGAGAATAATTTATCAGTCCAGTTCAGTATTTTTTAGCCCCACTATACAGGGGGATGAATCCTGACCATGAATTGATGCCAAATCCAGCAAGATGCAGGTATGGATAGGTACTGTTATTATGCACTGTTTTATACATGGGGAATAACTCATCTTCTTACATGTTATTATGCACTGGAGATGTTCTCAATTCACTGATAGGTACTGTTTTATAGGTAGGTATGGATAGAGTTCTTATGGGTAGGATATCCAGAGGGGGAGGGGGGCTAGTAGACTATGGGGGTTGTCATTCAAAATTCTGCATTGGGTTGCAATGTACTTAACCCTAAATAATAAGGGTCATTGATGTGACATTGCTCAATTCAAAAATTATTTGAACAGTTACATGTGGGTCCCATATAAAATTCACACCTATTCACATGTGACGAAGAATAAAAACAAAAATAATCATTAATCATTAATAAATTATTAATGATTAATTATTGATAAAAATAATAATTTTATTATATTATCAGTTAGATTTGTGTAGGTGGAAATTTTAAAATAAAACTTAAAATAATCTCTCTTACAATTTAAATAATTTAAAGGAAAAAAAAACTAGGTTCCACTTAAAATTTCCACCTATACAAATCTAACCAAGAATAAAAATAAAATTATTATTTTTTATCAATAATTAATTAGTAATAAATTATTAATGAAATAATGAATTATTAATAATTTATTGTTACTTAATTCTTAAATAACAATAATTATTTTGTTTTTGCTCTTGGTCAAATGTGAATTAATGGGAATTTTAAGTAAGACTCACCTATATTTTTCCCCTTAAAATTACTTAAGTTGAAAAAGAAAATTATTATTTTTTATTAATAATTAATTATTAAATAAAATTATAATTTTTGCTTTTATTCTTGGTAACATATTAGGTGGGAATTTTATGTGAGACCCACATGTAACCTATTCAAATAATTTTTTTATTTGAAAATACTACATCAGTGAGCTTTAATATTTTATTATTTATCTAATAGAATTGTCAACGGTGTCTTTAATGTTATCTATTTTTGCCTTAAATGGCCATTTTACCATAATTTGAGGGCGAAAATGGTGTTTCAAAACTTTAGGGTCAAAGGTGACAGTTTCACAAAGTCCAAAGGTTGACAGCCAAAAATCCATAATCAGACTATACCTCTTTCAATCAATATTCAGTTCTCTTCTTTGCTTCTCTCATTACTCTCTTATCTAATCTAAACACATCAACAAATAAAAGTTAATCAAAGAACAGGAAACTATAGAACATGAGATATGCTTTTTGTAGGGTAAGACATTATACAACATCTACCACAGCTTGACAACCCCCCTGAATGAAATCTTCGACAACCTCTAATGTAGGCCCACCCATTTCAGGATACGATTGTGCACATCGCCTCGGCTCTTCTGGAGCATGAGCCCATATTCTTGGTGAGAGCTCCTTTGTAGGGCAAGAGATGCAATTATTTTATGAATAGACACAAATGGCTACAACCAAATAAAAATGGCACCAAATCGTGTTAAATAAATGCTGGGACTTCTCAGACCTATCTAGTAAAAAAATGTAGTGATAACTTCCAGGATTAGGAGAAGAGAGCAACAAATTAGAAGGCTATGGAAGTCATATTTCCTAACATGATGCACAAAAATGTTAAAGAACATGTCGAATTAACCATTTTTTGGTAATATATTCAGACACCGAAATGAGTACCCATTACTAACAAAACCAAAATGAATCCATTTAATTTGAAATCTTTATTGGATTTACGGTTCATTTCCAGTGGATATATATTTATACTGACAAGTCAAGCACAATCCTCAGCATGCCAGGTTTGGTGGTGACCACTCGTGGCCTTGTAAGAAAAGGATGCTGAGCACCATGAATAAAAATACCTTTTAGCCTGCTCCCTTCGCTTTTACAATCTTTCACCACTAGCAACCAGATGTTAATCTCTGAGAGATAATGCTGATTTCCATTTTTTATTTTCTCTTACTATTTTGAACAAATAAACCATGCTTTTCCATTCCCCCAATAGTGCCCATGCATCCTCCTCTTAGGTGACTCTGGATCTCCAACTCACAAGAACTCTACCCACACCTGCCCACAAAACACTACCTCCGTGTATTGGAACGTCTTCCCGTGCATAATAACACGCAAGAGGATGAGATGTTCCCTATGTGTGGTTTCAATGTTATGTGGGTAGGAAATCCGGACTCCTCTCAGGTAGCAAGTAGCCAAGTAGCGACTAGAGTTGGTTATTCTGGTTGTGGGAGAAGGGAATTGGGACAGTTGGCAAATGTACAGGGTACAACATCAGAAAGCTCCCCACAAAATATCTGGGTTTTCCACTAGGAGAAACATGTACATCAACATTCATTTGAAAACCTTTTTTTTGGAAGAAATTTGAGACCTAATAGAGGAACAGTTTGATAGAAGATTTTTGCCATGGAACGTAAGATATCTCTCAAGGTAGGCAAGATTTGACTTATAAAAAGTGTGCTGTTTATCACTTTTATCAATACCAGCAAATGTTGCTAATCAGTTAGAGAAGAAAAAAAACAGGGATTTTCTATGGGAAGGATGCAATGATGAATTTAAGTTCTCCTTGGTGGATTGGTATAAGGTATGTGAACTTAATGTGTGGATTGGAGGTAAAGAGTCTAAGAAGGTGAACACAACACTCACAGGCAAGTGGTTCTGGTGATTTAATGATGAAGAGGTAGTCTTTGGGGGCAAGTTATTTCAGCAAAATATGATTCAAGAAATTTAGGATGGGATTTAGGAGAGGCTAATATGTCCTATCGTTTCACACTGTAGAGAGGAATTTAGAAAGCTTACTGTTAAACAAAAAATATCTCTGGCACCATGTTAACTAACATAAAATATAATAACAACTCAGGGAGGAAACAAGAAGAAGAAATAGAGAAACATCAAAGGTTTAACGTGGTTCGACTTAGTAGCCTATATCAACAAGAGGGGAGGAAACATATCCACTATGAGAACAAGAGATACAACTCTCTCTCTCTCTCTCACACACACACACACATACACAATCTTTGTCTCTTCCTCAAACCTTAATCTCACACAACCACTAGCTTAAATAAGCAACAAACTGAAATATATCAGAAATACACAGAAGCCCCTTTTTCTCACATAAATACATATAGGTCCCCATAATTTATCAATATTACAAATATACCTAAATACAACCAAATACAATATTTCTCTCAACATGCCCTCTCAAACATAAGGTAGAAAAACCAGCTTGAGTTTTAAAGTAAGAATGTTGAAGCAACCTTCATGGAAATAGGTTTACTATTGAAGGAGCAACAACTATGAACCTTGGGATGTTAAAGGGACCTCTGAAGCAACAGTTCACTGATACACCAAGGGAGCTTCACACGTTCACCGACAAAGGTATCACCACACCACAAACCAGTACCAACTCACAAACATCCACAACTTGAGGCATCACAAGCCTCTTTTCCAATTCACAAAACCACCACCAACAAACAACCACAACTTAAAGCATCACAACCTCTTTTCCAACTCACAAAATCACAATCACCACAACTTGAGGCATCAAAGCCCCTTTTCCAACCAACCACCAAACAACCACAACTTGAGGCATCACAGCCTCTTTTCCAAACAACCACAACTTGAGGCATCAAAACCCCCCTTTTTTTTAACCAGCTCACAAACAATTACAACTTGAGGCATCAAAGCCCCTTTTTCAACTCATAAAACCAAAACAACCACAACTTGAGGCATTACAGCCCCTTTTTCAACTTACAAAACCACCACCAACTCACAAACTACTACTTCATCTTGAGGCTAGTAGTCAATTACTACACGAAGAGATTTCGTAGTAGTCGACTACTATTAGTATCCTGTTCTTAGTAGTCAACTATTACACAAAGAGAGTTTGTAGTAGTCAATTACTACCTCAACTGAACATGAAATAGCAACAACGGAATACCTTCATAGCACCTAGAACACTTTCACGGCAACCGGAACACTTTCACAACAATCGGAACACCTTCACAGCAATCAGAACACCTTCCCAACAACTAAAACAACCTGCACAACAATTGGAACACCTGCTTTGATACCATGTTAAACAACATAAAATAGCTCTGATACCATGTCAACTAACATAAAATAGAATAGCAACTCGAGGAAACAAGAAGAAATAGAGAACATCAAGGTTTAACATGGTTCGGCATGGTAACCTACATCCATGGGAGGAGAGGAAACATATCCACTATGAGAACAAGAGATACAACTCTCTCTCTCTCTCTCTCTCACACACACACACACACGCACACACATGCGCGTGCAAGCGCACACATACTCTCTCTTTCTCACTCACTCTTCCACAAACCCTAATCTCACACAACCACTAGCTTAAATAAGCAACAAACAGAAATATATTAGAATTACATAGAAGCACCCTTTTCTCCCATAAATACATATAGGTCCCCATAATTTATCAATATTACAAATATACCTAAATACAACCAAATACAATATTTGTCTCAACACTTGGTTATATTTTGTGAAAGGTATTAGATGTCAAGTTGGAAATGACAACTAACCACTTATGGAGCTGTTTCCTACCTTACTTATTGTTGCACAGAATATTGATATTTGGGTGCTGGGCTATTTTGAGTTGCATAACAGAAATGTAGCATGGAGCCCCCAATTTGGAATAAATCTAATTAAATGGGAGTTTGAAGTGTTGGATAGATCTTACAATTAATTTATAAGGTAGTACCAATGCCAAATGTAAAAGATGAAAGGTGTGGGTTTGGAAAAGTCAGGGACATCCTCTGTTTGATCTGTGATCCTTCCACAACAAGATACATGGGTCAGTAGAGGGCACAATCCCCTGGTTTAAAATTTGGCATTTTGGTGCTTATTTGAAGGTTATTTTATTTTCAGTGCACAGTTGTCTTGGAGAAATGCATAACCCCATTTAAAGAGGTATTGCCATTGCTAAGCTGATTGCATGCTTTGTCATATAAACATGGAAGCCATAAATCACATTCTTCTGCACTGCCAGTGGAATGCCAAGATACGAGCCTGCTTTCTAGGAAAATTGAGGTGCAAAACTGCAAAACTGCAAACCTGCAAGAGTGCTTTCTAGGATTAGTTGAAGACTTAATAGAGGCTGGCAGTTGCCGGGGCTGAGCAAAAGGAGCAGGATTGTTTGGAGAATGGTACCATTAGCTGCTTTTTAAGCTATATGGGGTATACGTTTATAAAAAAAAATTATATGGGGTATAAGGAATGCTCACATTTTTTAATGGAAGATCAGCAATGTAGTTATGGTACCGAGTACTGACAAGGAAATCCACGGGTATGTACTCATGGCTGATTGGCTGTTGATGCATAAAGAATTCAGAGGTGTAAACTATAGTTCGTTTTTTTACCTTGCTTCTCTGTTTGTTAACAGAAGTAGATGATGCTGTTTATCAATACCTATATGTTCCCTTTGCAGTATTGTACGCCGATTATTATCAACCGACGGACCCGGGGAAAGTTAGAGCCTAAATGGAAAGGCCCCTACGTCATCGAAAAAGTCTACTCAAATGRAGCATACCTGCTCATCACCATGGACGGCGAACGAATCATTCCTCCTACAAATGCTCGATTCCTGAAATAGTACTAGAGGTGGATCTCCTATCATCCACAAAACCTACCCAATTTGCATCAGTATAAGCCTCAACCTTGAGATGTCCATGGTTGGAGTATAACATTCCTTTGCCCGGGCATCCCTTTAATTAGGCAAGAATTCTATTAACTACCTGCATATGTGAAGTTCTAGGTTTATGCATATACTGACTCACCACACTTACAACATAGGATATATCAGGCCTAGTTAAACACAAGTAGAGAAGCCTACCAACAAGTCTCCGATAAACACTTTTGTTAGGAAGAACGTCTCCATCATCAACACTTAGTTTATGATTGGGATTAGTGGGGGTTTTAATTGGCTTGCACCCCAACTTGCCTACCTCAAGAAGGTCAAGAACATACTTTCTTTGTGAAATGAAGATTCCTTCCTTTGACCTTGTCACTTCAATCCCAAGAAGGTATCTGAGATTCCCGAGGCCTTTGATCTCAAATTCAGAAAAGGAAAGACTTTATCTAGAACACTCCAAAGTTATCATCTCTAGTGGCAATAATATCATCAACATACATTGCCAGAAGAGTCGCTAGRCCATTAACCTTTCTTATAAAAAGAGTATGATCTACTTGTAATTGAGTAAACCCAATTTTAAGAATAGCTTTTCTAAATCTGTCAAACCAAGCCCCAAGAGACTGCCTAAGCCCATAAAGGGATTTCTTTAGATGGCAAACCCTCCCCTCACAATTAGGGAAGCTTACTCCCGGGGAAAGATCCATGTAGGCCTCTTCTCAAAGACCTCCATTAAGGAAGGAATTCTTCACATCCATTTGATATAGAGGCCACAAATAGTGAGTAGCAAGAGACATAATCACTCAGATGGAGTTCATCTTAGCCATAGGTGCAAAAATCTCTTGATAATCAATCCCATATGTTTGGGTATACCCTTTTGCCACCAACCTAGCTTTGTATCTTTTGATTGAGCCATCAACCCGACGCTTAACTGTATACACTCACTTGCAACTCATTGAGACTTACCCTTAGGGAGAGGGACAATTTCCCAGCTTTGATTCTTTATTAGGGCCTCCATTTCCTGGTTCATAGCATCCCTCCACTATGGGGACTGCACTGCCTCTATAACATACGAGGAATAGAAGCAGCAGAAATGGCAGAGATGTAGGTATAGTATAAAGGCGATAGGGCATTAGTGATGGAATAAGCAATACACTTCCTTTTTCCTTTTCGAACTACAATGGAAATATCAAGGTCATCCTGAGAGATATCAAGCTCAGTACTAGAAGGAAAAGGAAATTCATGTTCAAGATTATTCACAGAGTTACCTAGAGTCAAGTGATTAGATTGTTGTGGACCTTCAGCCTCAAGAGCAATCCTTCTTCTACACCTAATGAACCACTACTGCCAAGACCAATGATGAGGAACAGAAGCAGGAATATTGCCACTGCAAGTAGGATGAGGGGAAGACACACTAAGAGTATCCATAGAGGCAAGAACATGAAAAAAATGAAGTCCTTAGACACATATTATTGACTAGAGTGGGGGTCAAAGCACTTGTATCGCTTTGGACAAGAAAGAAACCAAGAAAAACACACTTGAAGGACTTAGGTTCAAGTTTGAGGTGAGGACTCATATCATGAACTAAACAACTACACCCAAAGACTCAAAGAGGAAGACAAAAAATAGAATCATTAGGGAATAAAAACTAATGAGGGAACTAAAGATGTAAAGTCTATGAAGGAAGCTTATTAATAAGATACACCACAACTTCAACAACATCTCCCCAGAAGCAAGTGGGTACATGCATCTGAAAAAGTAGCCCCCTAGCARCTTCAACCACATGTCTATTTTTTATCTCTACTACACTATTTTGCTGAGGAGTATTGGAACATGAACTCTGGTGAATTGCCCCCTTTATTCAAGAAAGATTTGTAGATGCTTTTCAAAGTACTTCTTAGCATTACCAGACCTTATTATTTTGATATTCTTTTCAAATTGTGTTCCCACCATTTTAAAAAAGTTTTGAACAATAGAGGGGACTTGAACTTCATCTCTGCTCTTTATCAAATATAACCAAGTGTATCTTGAGTAATCATCAATAAACAAGATAAAGTATTTATAGCCACCCATGCAAGGGATAGAATATGGGCCCCAAACTGACACAAGTTTGGAAACAAACTGACACAAGTTTGGAAACAAAACCTTGATAGATTTAAAAGACACATGACCAAGACGGCAGTGCCACAGTTTCAAAAGACTTAGATTCCCATTTTGGCATGACTCGGTCTAGCATAGTAATCCTTGCTCAGAAGCATGATCAAAAAGATAAACTCCATCAGATTCATGCCCAGTTCCAATAATCCTCCCCGTGCTCAGGTCCTAAAAAACACAAATAAAAGGTTTTTGTGCAATTGTGGAACATGAAGAACTAAGCTCAGGGAAAGATTATGAGTGAGCTTAACTTCACCCAAACTAGAAACTGGAGTTTGAGATCCATCATCTACAATGATATTACCTTTTCCCTAAAGCTAGTTTATAAGAGATAAAGTGGGAAGGCATACCGGTCATGTGAGCACTAGCCCCAAAGTCCACAATCCAAGAGCTAGGAGATGAAGACTGACAAACAAGAGCAATACCTATTTTAGCAAAAGCACTAGAAGGATTACTAGAGCCCATAAAGGTAGAGGACCCAATCTTCTCAAGCTGAGCCAGAAGGCTCATGAGCTTCTCCACCACATTAGAGGAATCATGTGAAGGGGCCTGAACACAAGGAGATAGACAATCAACTCCCCCCAGTAGCAAGATGGGCATTTCCTTTCTTAGATGTTTTAAACTTGTCAAGCTTCAAATGGGGATTCAGCTTCCAACATTAATCCTTAGTGTGTTTTGGTTTGTTGCAATATTCACACACTACTTCATCAGTCTTCTCAATTACGCCTTGTCTGTTAACACTTTGTTTGGGTTTAGAAGACATGTTAGCAGAATGTTCACCAATTACAGTTTGCATCATGGCAGCCCTCCTCTCCACTCTACATTCAAACCTGCCAAGAAGTCAAAAAACTTAGTTCTTCTCAATATATTTATGTATTGTTCACTATCATCAGGATTCTTCCATTCCAAGGCCTCTAGATGATCCATTTCTTCCCACAGAGATTGTGAGGAAGAGAAGTGCATAACCACTATCCTCTCCCCCTGACGCATATTGTAAGCTACCCTTTGGGGTTAGTAGACCCAAGCAATGTTCCTTTCCTGGGAATACGTAGTAGTAACACAATCCCAAATGTCCTTGATAGTGAGGAGAAACTTATAGTTATGGGTAATATGTGGCTACATCAAATAGACCGACCATGACATAACCAGAGAATTATCTTCTTTCCACTTGGCAGACCTGGGATCATTAGGTTTCGACTTTACTTCCTTGCCTATAATGAACACAAGCTAACCTCTTCCTCCAATTGTAAGTTTGGATGATTGGGACCACTCTAGAAAGTTAGTTCCATCACGCTTTATAGTGGTAATCATACCACTTGAAGTATCTACATTACCCAGGAGCACTTTAGAAACGGTCTGTATTTCCTTGGATGATTCCATCTGTCTTCCTGAAACTACAGAACAGTCCTACAACACTCCAATATCTAACCAGCAAGACCCACTAACACAAGTCAACATGCGGTTGGACACCAACAGGAGGCCAAAACTAAAGTTGGCGGCAATATATGTGGAGAAAATTTCTCTAGAAAATTAACCAAGGTTCAAAAAAACATGAAAGCAATTTCCTGAACTCAGAGAAGAAAAATGACCAAAAATTCCCTAAAAATAGGGTGTGCAAAACTGAACAAGTTTCAAGGGTTCCTGTCGACACTTGTATGGACTGCTGGCATTAGTAGATCTTCCTGGGTTCGAGGGTCAACAGAGGAAGCTCTTCCAAGATCACTTCTCGCTCTGATACTAAGTTGTCAAGTAACAAAATTGAAAGAAAAAGAGAAGAAGAAGATGTTTCAAAAGAGTTGGGTGAGTTACTGTTCACACCCAAAAACAATCTTTATACTATCTAGGAAAATTACATAAATGTCCCTAAGAAGGCACCCAAATACAAAAAGAAATTAAAAAATACATATTCTCAACAATCTTAAACTACAATGATACAACGGAATCAAATACACTTTATTTTTGTATTGTAGTGGCAGATGATGTGTGCCCACAACAATTATCATATAGCAAAAATAAACAGCTTCAAGTGTTATAGAGCTTCATAAATCATCTCTAGATTTACAATTACAAAATACAAATCGGAGTATGGTTAATAAAATGGAGAAGATTTCTCTTCACTCTTAGCAAGTATTCTTTGAGACAACAAATTTGGCTTGAGTAAACAAATGTTGCAAATAAAAAACAGATACTTAGCAATTGCAATAAACTCTTCGCAAGGATAAGTTCTGTACCTTGTTTTAATGATCAATTCACTGAAATCCACTGGTTGTATTCATCCATCCTTATTATAAAGGAGCTAGAACTCAAAGAGCCTCCCCCACCATAAGCCTTCAACAAACTATGCTTCAGAAATTCATCATCACAAAACATCAAATATTTCCATGTAGAGAAGCATATACTTGCTTCATTAGTACCTTAGCAACTTCAGATGTGTCAGTAGCACCATCTATACTCCTCAAGCACATTTTAAGATTGCCCCGTTGCATGTAAACAACTGCACCTATAGGCCTGCCATTGTGGACAGAGGACATTAAGATAATGCTACCATATTTGGACTATAAAGTGGTATAAAATGAGGATACCCTTATATATGGAACCTTTTAACAGTAGAATAACAATAGAGCAAGAATTTATTTTGGTCAGTTACATAGAGACTTTTATTAAAGATAAGAAAGGCATAGGTCAATGTACAAGATGTACATAGTTATGTAGAGAGTAGAACAAAGAAAAGATCAATTTTGCAGTTCGTACACCCCTGCTCCATGGGGAGGTCCATGCATATGATAATATTAACCCAACAGATATTCACCCCACTTGGATTTCTGTCTTCCTACTCCTTAATGAGCAAGGGTATCTGCCAAAGAGTTGGAAGACCTTGGGGTCCAAGAGATTTCTGCTTGTACTCTCTGACATAGGTGTCTAGCTTCCCTAATCATGTCTTAGGGTCTGCAATCCTTTCACTTCACCACTTTAGACAGCTTCCCTAATCATGTCTTAGAGTAACCAGCTACATGTGCTAGTCTCAGTCCTTGCATTACAGCTAATAATTTAGCTATAATGGAGATCCCAACACTAATAGGTCAAGAAAAAAGTAAGCATTATCTCCCCTACATGGTTTCTAAATGGTCCACAAATACTGGACTCCCCTGGGTTACCAAGGCTACAACCATCAAAATTCATTTTGATTCTGCCCACTGGTGGGGGAACCCTCATTGCACTAGTTCGTCTGCCAAGGAAGAGGTCCAAGAAGATGAAGCCATGGTGGACAATCCTCTACAGGTATCATCTATGGAAAAGCATGAAAACTCATCTAGTGTTTTGAGCCAATGAAAACTCTAATTTTAACTAAGCTGATTATATCTTCTCTTGACTGAGATTTATCTTGAGAAAAAAATCTTGCATTTTGTTCCTCCCTAATGGTCCATAATAACACAGCCCTAGTGCACCTTCACATCAAACTCCTATAATTAATAATATAATTTACTATTCATCACATACCCAAGGTTCCAATTTGAATCTGACATTTGAATCCCTTCCGTACAAAACTTACAATTATTTTTTGTAACTTACAGTTTATAAGATTCATGTGATCAGAACATATTCAATTGAGATCTTGTTCACTTACTTTGCCATTTCTTTTCCTTAATTTTTCCTAGGGGCTTTTATTTTAAAATCTTCATTGGAATAAGATATATTTATGTTATTTAAGACCTGTTTAGAAATACTATCAAGTTCATTTTCCAATCATATATAGGTTAAAAAGCCATTATATGTAGGTTAATGTATTCTCAAGTCAAACTTGATAATATCATCTTATATTTAATGTTTCTAGTGTACAAGTGAGGAACTCTGCTAATTAAGGGCCCGTTTGGCACGTCTTTCCACATGGTCTTTCGGCTGTTTACAAGCCGCAAAGACCGATTTTCGGTTTATTTCCGTTTGGCGCGCGGAAGATCTAGCTGCCAAAAGACGGAACGCTGAAAAGACGCGAGAAGCCCATTTTGGGCTGATTTCGGGAAGCTCCAAATGAAGCTTCTCGCGTCTTTTGCGTTTTAATCTCACGCGGAAAGACGCGGGTCTGCCAAGCGTGCTTCGGGCTGCTCAGATCTTCATGCAAAAGCTCAATGTGTCTTTTGCATGTTAGAGCTACCAGAAGATCTTCCCAAAAAGACGCACCAAATGGGCCCCAAGTGAATAAGTTCTGTGGTGCCAAGATATAAATACCAATGTAGACACAATTATAGGAGATGAGGATATGACCCTCTATTTCCTAAAATCCCAGACATAGATACAGGTATTAGTATCCCAACAATAATATTATACCATGCTTTTGTATCTAATTTTTAATCTGTCATTTCTCTAATCCTGTGGAACATATTCCCTGCTGCAATTGTCTCGGTTGTGTAGAACAAACGGTCATCATCATCATCATCCATGCCTTATCCCCACTACATGGGGTCAGCTACATGAATCCTGTTTCTCCAATCCATTCTATTTTAAGCCATATCCACTGTTAAATTATTAGTTCTTAAATCATTCCTTACCACTACCCATGTCCTTTTTGGTCCACCCCAAGATCTTCTAGCCCCTTTAGTGTTTAATAAATAACTTCTTGTAACTGGTGTAGTTGGTGGTCTTCTATGCACGTCCCTTGACCATCTTACTCCACTCCCTCTCAATTTATCGCCCCTTCATGGCTAAGTATTCAAAGAGTTTCCAAGGACTCCACCCATGGTAATTTCTTTATGTTGGGGCTCTTGTTTATTTAATTTTGCAGTCTTTTTGTATTGCCCTTTGCATAGCTTCTCTATCTTTGAAAGTATATTTCAATACAATAATTTAGTTTCTTCAATAAAGAAAAAACAAAAAAAAATATGTATATCTTCCAAATTTGATCAATTCTATAACATATGCAGATTTTATAATAATATGATTTCTTTTTTTGTTTAATAATTGAAATATGATTTTATTAGCAAAAGGTGAAACTTTCCTCCTTTCTCTATAACTATTTGGCCCATATATGTTAGTTAACACCCAAATGAAACCATTTTTTAACTTTAAGGAGACAGAGTACTTCCCATAAGTTTTTTTTTTTTTCTTTTGATAAGTAAAGAATCATATTCCATTAATTCAAAGATTGGTTACATGAAAATCCCCTTAGAGAAGCGTGAGGTGCTGCCTCTCTATACAAAAAACACAAAAACTACATCAAAAAGTGCATGACTGTTACAAAACACAAATTACAGTTGTGCCCAAAACAATGTTTCCCTGTTTGTCCCTTGTTTTGCCAAGACATCAGCAAATGCTTTAGCTGATCCCCCAACCCACTGTACTGTTACAGACATATTCCTTGTCAACATTTGAATTTCTTTATCTCATTCTTGTAGTCCCGCTTGACATCCTCCGGATTATTTAACCAGTTCACCACTGTCTTAGAGTCCCCTTCAACCAGAAGCTGCTCCACACCCATTTCTTTGGCAAGAATTATTCCTTGTATTGCAGCTAACAGCTCTGCCCGAATAGAGTTCCCAACACCTAAAGGGCCAGAGTATAGTAAGACAGCCTCTCCAGCCATAAGTTCCACCATTGATTCCACAACATTCTCCCTCTATAAAGCAACCATTCCTCTAGAAGCACCCCATGATGGAGCCACTTTCTATCTAATTCCGTGAGATTGGTTTCCTGTAACATCACTATATCAGGCTTCTCTGACCTCTTTTTCTTTTCTTTTTTTCCTTATTCTTCCTCATCAACTCTCTGTCTTCTGCTACTTCCTCACCAAACTGAGTAAGCCAGCCTTTTCTATTTTGGGGGTTTCCTCTAGTTCATTATTACCCACCCTCTCTAGAATTTCTCTCCTTTCTTCCCCTATCCCCCGTCTTGTTTGAGTACTCCCAATCTTCTTCCTTCTGCTTATACTCCAGTAATGTACAGATTTGATCCCAAATTCTCTCCAACTCATCCTCATGCTTCTTTTTTAGGGACAACTCCACCCCCTACTTTTATAGTCACCACTAAGGTTGTAATCAGATTGGATTCCGATTGGATTCAGCAAAATCCAAATCCAACTCCACTTTAATTGAAGACCTCGGATTCGAATTCAAATCCTAGCGGACTCAGACCGGATTCAGATTTAATCTAACTCCACTTTAATTTTTTAAAATATAAAAAAAATAAAAACTTAATTACTTTTCACCTTTATATTAATAAAATAATGTAAATATTACTTTTTTATAATTTTAAATATAATTATATAAAATTTATATATTAAAATCAATAAATATTATAATATAATCAGATTGGATGGGGTCAAATCCGAATCCAATCTGATTATTAATTGGATGAAGATTATAAAATCAAATCCGATCTGAATACATAAATACATCATCCAAATTCGAAATAATCAGATCAGGCCTTGGATTTTCGAGTGTCGTTGACAGGCCTAGTCACCACTCTCTATCCTTCCACCAACTTCTGGTCTTTCCAATTGGGATGCAGGAGTATCTGTTTCAAGCACAGTACACATATCAGTACAAAAATGAAAAAGACAGGGTTACCTGAGCGATTGGAAACCAAGGGGGTTTACTGCAGGAACTGAAGGCCCTGCATCAGAGTTCAGAACCAAACTTGTTCCCCTTTCCTGCGTCTACTGTAGAGGGTTCAAGTTAGAAGTCAAAGCTTTGTTAACTGCTACATCAAACACAACCTTCCAAGGTTGTTCCTTTTCTGGCATACCAAAAAAAACCTTCCGGGTTTGGTCTTGCCTCTCCAAAGAAGAAACCTGTGCTGGCTGAACTACTGGAGAGGATTCCCTTGTAGGTTGAGGTGTACCCTGAACTACATCCACATTCACTGCCACTATCTTATCCACCAAACGGTCAAGGATACTTGTAGTGCCTTCCCCACCTACCTCCTCCTCGGAGAATAAAAGCTCAGTGCCAAAATTTTCTTCAGCAAGGAAATTCATCAAGCGATTCAAATCAACACTTTCCAAGCTTATAGTGTCTTCTTCAGAATCAGTACCGCTTCCTTCTTCATCTGAGCAGAAATCCTTTACAACAACTTGAATAAATAAAATAAAACAGATATGTGTTCTAATGTAATTCAAGAAGAAGAAAGAAAGAAAACAACTAGGCTTCGAAGAGAAGAGGAGAAGAAGAAGAAGAAGAGAAGAGAAAGAAGAAAAGGGTTCGATTAGACTAATTTGCCGCCCCATTAGATATTATATATATTAGTCTCCTTACAAGAGTAGGAGTTACTCTAATACACCTACTTAAAATAAAAGACAGATAAACAAAGATAAACAAGGCCCAGCCGGCCCAACTGTAATAAGAGGAAATAAAAATAAATAAGTGTGGGGATGGAACCACACACTAGGAGATATTAACTATCTCTACACTCCCCCTCAAGTTGGGAGTAGATATTTGTCATTCCCAACTTGCGTAAATCTGTCTCCAGCTTGATTTTTATGACTGCTTTAGTAAAAAGATCAGCTAATTGCATGTCTA